GCCCATGTATAATAATTTGAAACTCTAATTTATCTATATAATTATATCTATTATATTTTTTAATATTGCTTTATCCTCCGATCTATTTTTTACTAATTTTTTCAATCATGAGTAAATTTTTTTATAAAAATGCTCTTGACAGAGAAGAAGAGAAAAAAAAAACATTTAAAGTTACATGAACTACATATTTCATTTTTAAAATCCTCAGAATTTTTTTTTTTTTTTTTGGCATTTCAGTTTAAAAATTGAGTTATGGTCGAAAATATTTAATAAAAAGACATATTAAAGACTTAAATACTATTTATAGAAATAATAGATGTAATTAGAAACATATAGAGACAAATTGAAGACTCATACAATTATATAAAAATAAATTGACTATTTACCTCATCTACTTTATAGAAATAATAGATATAATTAGAAACGTATAGACACAAATTGAAGACTCATGCAATTATATAAAAACAGATTGAACTATTTACCTCATCTATTTTTATGGGATTTGTGACACTTGAACGCAAAATTTAACATAAAATAAATTACATTAAATATCCTATAGTTTAAGCACGAAAATACTTTACACTCCAATTCTTCATATATTACACGTAACACTTTATATATATATATATATATCACTTAACATCCTATATATACTTTAATTTCATTTACAAACATTAGTCTCGGTTCAAAGGTAATGTCTATATTATTATAAGTTTTGCATTAATCACATGAGGTGATTTTTTTAATGATTAAATTTCCCTTGAAGTTCTGTTACAAATAATAATAATAATAATAATAAATAAAAATTCTTTTCTCTTTTCTTCTCTCTCCCAAGCTTAGCTAATTGTATTTTGCAGAGTCAGGCACAAATCCTGCAACACAATAACCAAATAAACAGTGCATACAATTAATTAATTTTAACTATTGCAACCTTAGTTTCAAGAAGACGCTCCTTTAAACAGAATTTACACGGTTATCAACTCTAAATCACCCTTTATTTTGGAATTCCTAATTCAAGTAAAAGAAGTTCCGAGATAAAGCCACATTTTAGTCCAACCATTTCAGAAATCATTCCATTGAAACTATAGAGGAGAATCTGATGCAAATACCAATTTGTGATTTCCTTCCCTTTAAGTACACAAGCATATAGCTACCAAAGTGTCAGTGAGGCTGCAATAGTTGCCTATGTAACATCAAACTATCATGTTGAGGTATTTCTATCCTTTAGAAAAAATAATTCTTTTTTTTTTTTTTTTTTGTTAGGGATCTACTTAACAAAAACAAGGACAAAAAATGTATTGGGAGATTTTGTTCCAAAAACACAATATATACATTAGATTAAGCATAAGAAATTGTCTCTTTTTGGGAGTTTCTAAGAAATAATCCAAAAGTTACTTGGTTAGGGTTAGAGTTTCACTTATCAAGTTTTATCTTTAATTTTGTTCAAATTCGAGTAAAACGTCAATGAAAACTTCCTTTCAACTTTACTTTATGACTTGTTTGATTTTCAAGCTTTGATTTTTGGCAGACTTTTGAGATTAAAATCTCAAAAATTTGAGAAAGAACTAGGTAGAAGAGCGAATGTCGAATGCTCAATAGGAAGAGAGAGTTTTTAATGATAAGGGACATTTTAATCGTTTTATAATTTAATTGAAGAACCATGAACCCTAACTTCGTAAGGTGTTAAGTGTAATATGAAAAATTAGGATGCAAAGTGTTTGTCCACTCAAATCTTAAGGTGTTTAATGTAATATACACTTTGACATGTATAGTTATCGAGGGAAGGACCAAATAATTACAGCAGGTGGAATAAAAGGATGAAATTAAGGAAAATAGAAGTAATAGGACCAGAATAAGAAAATTTAAGAGTTGAGGAACCAAATCCAGCATTAAACCTTCTTTATAGAATCCGTTGGAAGTTTCTCAAGAACTCCAAACGAAGCCGAAATAGAGATTTTGCATTAAAACTTTCTTTTCCTCTTTTTCATTTATGGCTCATTCTTTCATGATTTCATCGGAGACATGGATCAACCTAGAGTTAATTATGAGCATGAAACACATTGTGATTTCAATCTTCATAAAATATGAATAAATCTCACTAGAGCATATTACACTTTAGTCCTCCAATTTTACCCCAAGTCAGCTAATCTTTACACATTAGTAAGCCAAGAGAGTTCGTTTAATAAAAGTGATACTTTTTCATGTCACAAGAGAATAGGTAAGAGTAATTATTGGTTAATTATTTTAAATTAATAAATTTAAAATATAAATGTACATAAGAATACAATTACTTGAAATTATATGGCACAACTTGTGTCTGGCAGCACAGGGGTCATTTGCAACGTCCTATATATATATATATATAAGTGTTGTCAATACCACTTTGTTTTGTCCGGAATAACCAGTAAATACAATTTTAGTTTAAATCACAATCTATCTCGGATTTTTTTTTGCCAAATATTGGCCGAGGTATACGGGTTATCTTTGTACCGTTTCATTCTGCATTGTTATATGGCCTTTTTTGAATTTTTATCTATTTCTAATTTTTTATTTTCTAAATTCAAATAACTAATTCTTAATTTTCTTGGTAAGGTCAACATATTGTATATAAATGACGAAGATAATGTTTGATTTAATATTTTCTTTATATTAAAACCCTTTATATATTTGTGATTTTATTAGTGTTGGACTATTTTAATTCTTAAATTAGCGTGTAACTATCCTTTTATTGTTAGATGTTTGACATTTTATTAATTTGTATTGAATTATTTGAATTTAATTATTTTTTAAATATTTGGATGAATTATGTGCGAAAATTTGGATTGTAATTTTTTTATATTAAAATACTACTTTCAATATTTTTATTGTTATATATATAATTTGGAAACGAAACACCGGTATTAAAAAATTTCGTACTATGCATGGATAAATAAAAAAAGACTCGTATTAAAACCGGACTTAAATTTTGCTCCCTCATCCTTCTCGAAGTCAGCATTAGAAACCATTTCATTCAACAAAGCAGAAGCCTTTTCGACATCATTATCCACATGGGCCATGACATCCTCAATCAAGCTAAAATCAGCCCACTAATGAAGCTTTTTGAGCTTCTTCAAACCCAATAAAACATTACCACTATTCTTTTCCTCAATAACTTTATTGGAATCACTATACCCAGCAGAAAAATCAGTAACTAGTTGGGGTGGTCAAATTATTATCATTATGCGTCTTCAAAGCAGAAAAACCAGCAGTCGCAGAAGAAGAAGGCAAAAGTACAGAAGAGAAAGACTTCGAAGAGAAAACACCACTATTGTCATGATTCCTCTTCAACCCAGTAAATGGTAAGTCTCCAAAAGCTGGAAATGGATCCTTACCACCGACTTCACCATCTTTTATTGGGTTTGAAGAAGCTCAAAAAGCTTCATGGTTTCCAAAGCCGCCGGAGAGAGAGAGAGAGAGAGAGAGAGAGAGAGAGAGAGACGGGGGGTGAAAGAGAGGATGAAGGGTTTAATTTCTCTTCTTTTATTTATGCAGGTTTATTTTATCCCACATGGAAAAAATTTATACGTGGCACATCATGAATGGAAAGGGTACTTATATGATGTGGAATTCTTGGAACCTGGATACTCTCTCTGATTTCTCACCTTCAACTGGCTATCATTATTAACCGCTCATGTCCATGGTCCATAGGTACTTCAGCCTTGCAGTAATGAAAAACACCTTCAATTTATAAAGCTTAAGAATATATATATATATATATATATATACACTTCTCATCGATTGACCAGATCATAGAAAATTACATGGAAAATTCCATCGATCTGGCTAGCTGGATCCAACAATATATTTGCCTTCTTTAGTTTTCCTGGCATTTTCCATTTGACTTCTGTACATGGAATCTTGTCGTTGCACACTAGGCCTGTATATGCGGGGAATATTAATGTCTTAATAATATTAAAAAAGTCATTTCCATGTTAAACTCAAAGAAAAAAAAAAAGAAACCCATTTCACATAAAAGATTCTGCCCCCCTCTTTTTAACGATTAGAAACCAAAAGTAATATCAATTTCGTAACATTTCACGTGTATGTAGGTGGTGTAAAATATGATATATATAAATTGATCTAGACTAAGAAAAGACATGCAAATTGATGAACTGTCTGTGAAATATATAGGGCATGTTATATGAGCTTGAAAATAGAGATTTTCCACAAAGCATATTGGACATCAAATTGCTTATGTAAAACCATAGAAGATATACAATTAAAGCTCGACTTTCTGCCCATTAATGAAAATTTTAGAATTGAAAGCGTGGTGGATTCTGTGTTTGATGACTATTCAATCTTAAAGACCAATCTCAAAGTCTAGTTCCAAATCAATCGCAAATGGGATGACTATATTTCGAGGAAAAATAACGGAAAGCAGCAACCTCGAAAAAAACGTTCATGTTCAAGGAAAAATACCCCTATTGACTCGCTGACTTGCCCCAAGTCTAAACTCTTTATTTGGGAAGTTTTTTCTCCATTTTGTTTTCCTTTTTTTGTTTTTTTTTTGGACAAATACATAGTTTCCTTTTTCACTGAAATTTACTTGATAGACTTGTTTACCAGCCTGCCTTAAATTTCAAAGTACATACATGAGTACAAGAACAGTTAAATATAGAACGTGTTTTTTTCTGTTTCTTGTGAATGGATGAAACCGTTGACTTTCCATCAATGAAAAACAAAGAAATAAGCTTACTACGACAAGCAACTAGCCATGTCGGCCTGTATGACGAATTCCAATTAACTTGGCTTTTAATGAAAGGAATTATCTATGATAATTTTTTGGAATCAAGGCCCTGTATCGTCTCTTTAAATATAATAAATAGCTAACTTTGCCTTGCCATTTAATACCACAACTACGCAAGCTTCTCTTAAACATCTCCAGCTTTCTCTCTACTAACAAATTGCTTCTTTGGTGTAACCAAACTACTTCTTTGTTTCTTCCTGAGAGATAAAGAAACATGCAAGGTTCAGTGAGGTTTTCAAGCTGCCGAGGAGTGGCCTTTGAAATCAAGCCTCATGAAAGTCCATTTGCCGTTTCTGATTCACCCGATGATAAATCGAGTTGCAGCGAACGAAATTGGTTTCCTTGGACCCTAGGGAGCTCCTCCAAGTTGTTCCCTTCTTCGATCAACAGGTCAACAAGTAGAACCAGTAGCCATTTCTGTGATCTTGATCTTGATGGTGAAAATGATCAAGATGACATTTCTTTGGCAGCATTAGAAGAAGGAAAAGAGCAGAAACTAGCTCCTTTTCCATCTGGAACTAAGCTGGAGCAGCCATCAAAACCTGCTCGAAAGCAAGAATCAAGACTGTCGGTTATATTGCTGGACCAAGGTTTGTTCACGGTATACAAGCGACTCTTTGTCGTTTGCTTGACCCTGAACATCACTGGTTTGGTAATTGCAGCAACTGGAAAATTCCCATATGCAAGAAATAGATCTGCCCTTTTCTCCATAGCCAACATTCTAGCTTTGACACTCTGCAGGAGTGAAGCCTTTTGCGAGTTGTTTTCTGGCTCGCAGTCAAGTTCTTTGGAAGGTCTTGGATACCTCTCCCAATAAAAACCGCTACCACATCTCTACTTCAAAGTCTTGGTGGCATACACAGTAGTTGTGGAATTTCTTCAGTTGCTTGGCTTACATATGCCTTAATCCTTACACTTGATAACAGAGAAAACACTTCGTCAGAGATCATAGGAGTGGCATCTATTATTCTTTCTCTCCTCTGCCTCTCTTGTTTGGCTGCATTTCCTCTCGTCCGCCATCTCCATCATAATGTCTTCGAAAGGTTTCACAGGTTTGCTGGATGGACAGCTCTAGCACTCCTCTGGGCCTTCATCATTCTCACTATCTCGTATGACCCCAAGACCAAATCCTATAGTAATGAACTAGGCTCCAGGCTGATCCAACAACAAGAGTTTTGGTTCACAGTAGCCATTACAATTCTAATTATCATCCCATGGATAACAGTGAGACGAGTTCCTGTCAAAGTATCTGCCCCTTCAGGCCATGCCTCCATCATAAAATTTGCGGGAGGAGTAAAAGCTGGTATACTGGGAAGGATTAGCCCATCCCCATTATCCGAATGGCATGCTTTCGGTATTATTTCTGATGGGAAAACAGAACATATGATGCTTGCTGGTGCTGTTGGGGACTTCACTAAGTCCTTGGTCGCCAACCCACCGAGCCATTTGTGGGTTAGACAAGTGCACTTTGCTGGTTTGCCCTACTTGGTGAATATGTATGATCGGGTACTTTTGGTGGCAACAGGTTCTGGCATTTGTGTTTTCCTGTCATTCCTTTTGCAGCCATGTCGTGCCAGCGTATGTGTAGTTTGGGTGGCCAAAGGGATTGAACAAAATTTTGGCAAAGAAATTCAAGAGATGATGAGCGGACATCCCAAAGATAAAGTGATTGTGCATGATACAGCTGTGCTCGGTCGGCCCAATGTGTCCCAAATGAGCGTTGATGCTGCTAAAAAATGGGGAGCAGAAGTAGTCATTGTTACTAGTAATCCAGAAGGAAGCAGGGATGTCGTTAATTCTTGCAAAGCAGCAGGGATTGCAGCATTCGGTCCTATTTGGGACTCTTAGTTCAATGATGATTGAACATTTTATTTCTTTTCTTGTTTTGTTGTCCTCATGTATTTATGTACTGGAATGCAATTGTTCCTCATTTTTTTACTCTTTCAAAAGAACGATTCAGTATAAAATTAGTGTTCCACTCAATGAGCATAAGAACTGGATTTCCATAAATTAATACTTAAAAATAGGAAAATAATAATAACATAAGAACTGGATATTGAGGTGTATGTAGATGATATGATTGCAAAGTTAAAGGAAGGCGAAGATCATACTCGACCTTGATGAAGCTCTTTGAGAGGTCGAGAAAATACAAATTAAAGTTGAATTCAGCAAAGTGCACATTCGGTGTGAAGTCAAGAAAACTATTGGGGTTTGTGGTAAGCAATAGAGGAATTGAAGTTGATCCGAGAAAAGGTTAAGGCGATTCAAAACATGCCAGCACCTTCATCCGAAAAGGAGATTAAAAGCTTCTTGGGCCGTTTGAACTACATAGCTTGATTCATATCCGAGTTGTCCAACCCCGTGAACCTATTTTTCGGTTATTACGAAAGAAGAATCCCGGTGTATTGGATCAAGACTGTCGCCTAGCCTTTGATAAAATCAAACGAGTACTGCAGAATCTACCATTTTTGGTACCACCGCTTCCGGGAGGCCTCCGATTCTATACTTGATAATGATAAAGGTGGTCGTCGATTGCGTTCGTAGTCGGTGTGACGAATCAGGAAAGAAAGAGTAAGCTATCTACTATTTGAGTAAGAAGTTCACCGACCGTGATTCTCGATATAGAGTGCTCGAGAAGATGTGTTATGACTTGGTGTGGTGTGCAAGAAGGCTTAAACAATACATATTTTATTATACTACATGGTTGATTTCAAAGATGGACCCACTCAAGTATATCTTTGAAAAGTCATACTTATCTAGTCGTATCACACGATGGCAAGTCATGCTATCCGAATATGACATTGTGTACATGATGAGAAAGGCGATAAAAGGAAGTGTCATAGACAATTAACTAGTAGGCAGTGTAATTGACGACTATGAACCTCCGAAGTTTCATTTTCTTAATCATTGAATTATGGACATAGACGAAGAATTTGAGTCCGGAAGTGACAAATGGACCGTGTATTCGATGGGCGAGTGAATGAATGGAAATGGCATCGGGTCGGTCCTCATCTCATTAGACGAAAAGCAGTTCCCAATGGCTATTAAATTACGAGTTTGAATGCACGAATAACATTACGGAATATGAGGCACGGGTTAGAAACGACCTTGGAGATAGGAATCCAAAAGTTAGATGTGTACGATGATTCAGTACTAATAATTTGTCAAGTCAAAGGGAAATGACAAACGAAAGATGAAAAGTTGAATCGGTATCGGGAGTATTTAACAAAGCTAGAGATAGAGTTCACCCATTTGGGATAAGACAAGAATCACTTCGCTAATACCTTGTCCACACAAGCTCGCAATGACAAAGATAGCGTATGGTCTAAAGATCCATCCCATATGTATTGAGGTTAGAAATGCCCTAACATATTCATGTTGTCCGATCAAGGACGAGCTCGATAAAAAGCCATGGTATGAAGATGTCAAGCAATTCATAAAATGTCGAGAATATCCATCGTGTGCTTTGAAGACCGATAGGAAGACACTTCGAGTTTAGTAATGAATTTTTATCTAGATGGTGAGGTGTATACAAAAGAGGATTTAATGAAACTTTGTTAAGGTGTTTAGACTCGTTGAAGCTAAGAAGGTGATTGAAAAGATTCATAAGGGGATTTGTGTAACCTATGCTAACGAACACATAATTGCTCTTCAAATTCGGAGGTGTGACTATTTTCGGACTACCATGGAAAAGGATTATATAGATCGTGTGGAAGTGTCATAAATGTCAAATCTATGTAGACCGAATAAATGCTCTTCCTACACCCCTCCATAACATGGTGTCTCAGCCGTTCTCAATATAGGGAATGGATGTGATTAGGCCGATAAACCCGAAAGCCGATTGTGGTCATCGATTCATCCTAGTAGCAATTGATTACGTCATTAAATGGGTTGATGCAGCATCCTTCAAACATGTTACCCACAGAGTTATCCGTCAATTCATGCAGAAGGACATCATCCGTTGATATGGACCTCCGGAGACCTTGATCACGGATAATATGTAGAATTTCAATGGTAGGATGATCATAGAACTATACGAACAGTAAAAAATCAAGCACTCGTAATTCTTCACCATATAAACCCAAGATGAATGAGTTCGTGGAAGGCTCGCAAATAAGAATATAAAGAAGATCATACGGAAAATGGTAGTCACGTATAGAGATTGGCACGAAATGCTACCATTTGTACTACATGCTTATAAGATGGTAATGAAGACGTCGACTAGGGTAACTCCTTACTCATTGGTATACGGAATGGAGGTAGTGATGCTTATGGAAGTAGAGATACCATCTCCGAAGGTATTAAAAGAAGCAAAGCTAAATGAGTCGAATGGGCCTAAATAAGATATGGACAATAGAATTTGATCGGTGAAAAGAGGCTAGCATCTATTTATCATGCGCAACTATATCGAAAAGAATGGCTCGGATATATGATAAGAAAGTCCGCACAATAACCTTTTGTAAAGGGGATCTAGTTTTGAAAATAGTTCTCCCGATTCTAGAGGCGAAAGAAGTAAGTGAGCACCTAATTATGAGAGTCCATATGTGATGAAAAGAGCATTCTACGAAGAGCTCACCTTTTAATGAAGATGGATGATGAAGTCTTGTCGAAGCTAGTGAATTCGACATTGTAAAAAAATATCATGCTTAAACATATGAAGTTTTTTTTTTGTTCCATTACAAAAAAGAAAATAATTGAAATTATGTTAAATATTTGCTAGTTTAATCATTTTACCTTTTACTTCTCTTTTCTTTTCTTTTTTCCCATCCTATATGAACAATCCTTGATTTTTAATCCATCAAAATGGCCCGCTCCCTCATAAAGGTGATCAATCCCTAAAAACAAGCAAAAATCTTTTATTGATCTCATGCATAATCTCATGTTTAATGTGATTTATGAAAAATAATAACACAAAAAAGGGAAAATGACAAAAATGATAGGAATTTTATTTGCCCTTGATAGATGAAAAGGTTTTTTCATGAACCTTTCGTGGAAAAAAAAAGTGAATAGTAGATGGCGATAATCAAGGGTTGCTTCGACGGTTCCAAAGTACATCTAACCAATATACAATGACAAGGAATAAGACATTTGGGAACGATAGTCTAATTATGTGTGTAAAAAGCTAGCCGATAAAAAAAAAAAAACCCAAGGAAGTTGATTCAGGAGACATGCGATTAAGTATACAAAAATCTGCAAGAGCAACTAGCCTAGAAATTACGAACCTATTCCAATGAAGATGGAAAACAAGAAAGAGAAAAGTGTCTATTTTGACAAGTAATAATTTATATTTTCTTTCGAGTACGTTGCTCACATTTCGAGTGCATTGCCAAGGGAAGATCACTCGTTTGACCATGAGTACGGTCACTCGCATTAACCTATACTCGGAGAAAAGCCTTCTATGATAGACACGATCGGTTGATTCATTGTTGGCCACCCTTCTAGGATTTTCTTTATAAACTTACTATGTAAAGCCAAAGAAAAGTCAAATTTTCAATGGCTTTATGTCGTAAGCTTTGTAAAGAGAGGGCAATCGTTAGCATCCAATTTTTTTCAAAAAGAAAAAAAGAAGAAAATGGAGTAAAAAAATACAATTGGGGGTGCAATTAAAAAATAAAAGAGAAAAGAACCAAAGTAAAATGGGTTTACAAAACGAGGGACCAATATAGATTTTAGCCAAAAAAAAAAAAAAAACCCTAAAAACCTAGTATAAAAACACCATTTCTCCCTAAAAATCAGTAGCTAGTGTTCACCTATCCTAAAAGGAACCCTAGCCGCCGACCTCCTCCACTAGCCATAGCCCTCGGACCCTCTCTCCGGGCCACACACACTCGTCACACCCCTCGGCCCTCCTCTCCATGCCACAACACATCACTCCATCGGCTTCCCGTAGCCTACCTCGTCCCACATAGTAGCACCCCTTCTATCCAACGCCGGCCTCACCCCCATGCCGGCAGTTTATAGTGCTAACAGACGGTAGTGCGCAAGCACCCCTAGCAAACGTCCGCCGGTGCCTCAACCCCGTGCGTGCTTGCCGGCACTCCGGCCTAGTGTGCGGCCTCAACCCCGCCCTACATGTCGGCACCCGAGCTAGCCGGAGGCCCGCACGCATGCTTGCCTCACTAGTGCCCGCGCACCGCCTCACCCAACCAACGGCGCCTTGCCTCTACCTATGCAGCGAGTGCCTCACCCAACGCATAGTGCCTCTAGCAGCCTACTAAGCCGGATGTTCTAAATCTAAAAGTCGTCATTCTTAGTCGTCTTTTCTCCTCGATTGATTGAATTATGGTAATATGCGTTATTGTTGCGTTTATGATTTGATGAATGATATGTTGGTTTGAATGTTTAAACACTTGTTGTTATTTAGAATATATATCTTTAAAACAAGTCTTATGTGGTAGTTTTTATTTTTTTTAAAAAAAGAGCACAATGTCAAATCAAGCAAGTTTGGATTTTTGTCATGTAAATCTGTTTTCATCACATAATCAATTATGTACGTCAAGAAAACTAATTTTGTCAATTTTAGTCCGATTGTCAATTTTTGTCGATTTTTGCCTATGATTACCTACGTTGTCGATTTTTACTTTATGTTTGTCTTAATTGTTGATTTTTGCCTATGATTACCTAAATTATCAATTTTTACTTATTTTTGCTTTAATTGTCAATTTTTATCTATGATTGCTCGAATTGCCTATTTTTACTTATTTTTGCCTAAACTCGTCAACTTTTGCCTATGATTGCTCGAAGTGCCTATTTTTACTTATTGTTGCCTAAACCGTCAATTTTTACCTATGATTGCTTGAATTGTCGATTTTTATTAATTTTTACTTTGATTGTCGATTTTTTTCTAT